GGGTAGAAGGCAGGATAGGTTTTCCTGGACACCTCATCAAGGCTTATATTAATTACTAGTCACAATCAATCAAAATACTTAAGTATATGCTTATGATCAACTGACTTTAATAGATTTTATGCACGTGTTTAAGAGTTAAGCATATACTTAATTGCCTAGGTGAGGGAAGGGCTTAGTTCTCTCAACTTCCAGTGGCTTCAGTGTCAATTTAGGGGGCTCAGTATCTTGAAAGAATTTCTCAAATGTTCATGGGGCATAAATGCCTTCCCCAAGGTCAGACAGAGCTTTTTAATTGGAAACCCAATGCTTGAGCAATCAAACAGTGTTTCCACTGAAATAATTTAATAGATTTAATTGACATAACTGCATTACAAAAAATATTTCAAAATGCTTCTATGTGAATATTTAGAAATAAAATGTTCCTGACATGAGGGAATACAGTGGCATAGGCTTCCTAGTTTTTAGTGTCTGTGTGTATTTGGGATTAAGCAATTTTAGCAGCATTTTCTGAACATGAAAACATGGGATTTATTAAAAATATAACACATTCTTTCTCCATGTATTTAATATTTCAAATATGAATACAATCAATGTTTTAGCACATAAATGAAAACTGAGACTCACTTTTAAAAATGCTCTCTTTTCCAAAGCATTCATTATAAAGGGAGGAATGGCTGAAAGCAAAAAAACAAAACACAATACTTGATTAAACCTTTGCAAACACTTTGTTTGCTATCAACATTTTTGCAGCCATTTAGAAAACCAGGTTAGAAGCTTGAATACACTTTTATTGCTTCTTACACCATGAAGGTTCACTTATTTATATAGCCTAGTTATGGTAGTTTCAGTATTTAAATGTCTCTAATAATATGTACAAGTATTTTTCGTGGACAACTCAGTCTACAGCATGTCTCCCCATTCTGGAGCTGTCTCATCTTCTCTTCCCTCTTGAAGGGCTCCTTTTTCATTTTGCAGAGGCTGCAAAGTAGTAGCATCCTTTTCATTCCCTCATTCTGGATCAGAAAGAGCAACCCACTTTCAGTAAGTTTAGAGCATGTGTTAGTGGGAGCCACTAACAGCAGCAAGAGTGATATACCCTGGGGTCTCTATGCAACTTTTGGTATTTATTAGCCTGCCCGCCTGAAGTCCAACATTTATTACCAGAGGACGAGCTTAAATTTTTTTTTGCAGTCCCTTGTATAAATATGCCAGTTTCAATAGTCTTAATCATGAAACCTCAGTGGGTGGCCTATCACCCGCTCAAGCAGCTGCTCTGATTAAAAAGAACCCTATTTTCAAAAATTACTTGTTAAAATTTGAAAGGAAATGAAGGACTGTAGTAAAGATTTCACTGCTTTTTATCACAATTGAACCCCTCTTTCACCCTCTCTACCCCACTACTATTAGCCTCATACACCTTTATCATTATTTGAAAGTATGAGAAATTCCACGCGCATTTAAAACCCGGCGGAGAGCTCAACAACATGGCACTGGTTAAATGCACACATCGTTAGCTCTTTCTTTCTTATTTGAACAGAACTATCCTTTCTAATTCCCTCCCTAGAGAAGCATCCCAACAGATTTTCTGTTCGATTTAAGTGTAGCACATAGTATCTTTGTATTATCTTCTGGGGTGTCGGAGCACAAGGAAAAAACACTGTCTCCCGTTTTAGGAGGGTGTGGTCTATTAGAAAATCATCTGTATAGAATTCAATATAAAGAATTTTTCCTACCTTTTTAATTATAAAAGCTTAGGACAATGATTCCATTTCACGGAAATTTACTAACCCATGCCAGGCGCAGCCATGAGAATCCTTGAGATAACCACCTGAGTAATGGCCTGCTGAGCAGCTTTGGCAGATTCACCCAATCTGTTTCCATTTTCATCAGTAATCGGGATACCATATTTAAGTTCCCTGTTGAACAACAACAAACAGAACAGTTTAGCAACAGCTACTGGCATCCATTTTTGTCCATTTCTGGAATTGACTTGCGTTCCTCTTTTCACTTTGCTAATTCTAAGAATTATTTCCAAATAAGAAAACTTACCATTTTATGAGCTTTACATGACTGTCTCATTACTAAAAGTAAACACTTGCTTTGCAATCTTCCGCACCTAACATAGAAGGGTGAGGGAAATAAAGATGCTAAGGAGATAATTAAAGGCTAATTGCAACCACAACTTACAATCAGTGATCTGTCGTCTTCTCTTTATGGAGTTTTTCCAGTTTTAGCGTCTTAGTTTTAACTACCAATATTCTAATTGTGTAGGATGCAAATTAGGCAAAGAAAGGTTGCTTTTTTAAAAGACATTAATTCCTAGCCCTGCCCTTGACAGCAAAAGTATGGGTCTGTTCAGAATAAAGTGAATACGCTGGACATTGGCAGACATAAAAAAACCCCCAAACCATATTTTATCAGAAGAGACAGTGTGCGAGTTGGACCTGGCTTATTCAACATCTAAGCAACATACTCAGCACCTTAGCTGGACCTGGCTCGCTCGACGTCTGTGTAGATTGGGCACTTCACAGCGGGGCTTTTCTGGTGCTTTTATCTAATAGCTGAGTGAATGAAAACGCTAGCGTGGCTCTCTACAATACTGTGAATATGGTTGCTTTACACATGCCTGTTAGAGACAGAAAGGTAATCATTCTAGTGCAAATAGCTGACTGAAACAGCTATTAGATAAGAAGTACCAGAAAAGCCCCACTGAAGCGTCCAACCTACACAGACGTCGAGTGAGCCAGGTTCAACTAAGGTGCTGCCTCTTCTGGGCATGTGCTGGGCTCGGTGCAGAGGCAAGGCCACACACAAACACACGCACGTGTGTACCCACACAGAGCACAGAATCAGTTCTTTCCTCTTTTTCCCTTCATTTGAGAATGACATGGACCAGGGGTTGTCAACCGGGGGTATGCATACCCATGCGAGTAGTTGGGACGGCCCCAGGGGGTACATGTGATGGCGTGGGGAAGTGACGCGCAGCGGTGGCACGGAGTGGTGAATGGCGGCGGCAGCTGCCACATGCGAGCTCCCTGCCCCCTGCCATTAACCACGCTGTGCTGCCACCACATGCCACCAGCTTCATGTCTAGTTGACCATCAGCAAACCTGCTCCCCCCACCCCCTGGAAGGGGGTACATTCCAGAAGGGGTACACTCCTTAAAAAGGGTTGAGAACCCCTGGCACAGACTAAAGTGCATTAGGAATGAAACCTATGAGCACAGCTTTTTACTCGGTCACAGCCTGCATTCCGAACAGGACGCCATACCCTTCTTATTCCCTCTAATTTTCTACTTTCTGCTAGATCACATGGAGTTTTGATTCAGAAAAAGAGCAAACATCTTTATAATTTAGGATGATTAAAAATAATTCAGAATCTTTATTACCAAGTCACTCCGGCAGGATCTGAAACACCTTCTAAAAGGCTTTTGCATCTTCCCTGGTAGAGTGAATGGTGGGGGTGTGCGAAGCAGGTCCTATTCGATTCGGATTCAGCCCGAATCAGAGACAGTGATTTGATTCGTTGATTTGGATCACTGTCCCAGATTCAATTCAGCCAAATCCGAACATTCAATGCTGATTCAGAGAATCAGTGATTTGGACACAGACACAGCTTTAAATGTTTTTTCTACATACCTCGAGGTACCAGCATCGCTCATCCTCACAGGAATGTGGGGGGCCTTCCACGTGCTCGGCAGCAAACCTGGAAGTGGACCAGAAGTACTTCCGGTCCACTTTTGGGTCCACTGGGGAGCACGCAGGGCCCCCCCCGCCCAGCTTGGTAATCAGCCACGGGGGGATCCCAGGTGTCCCCCGCGACCCAAGAGGCACCAGTTGCTGAGCCCGGGAGGTGTGGGGAGGCCCTGCTTCCCTGCAGACCCAGAAGTGGACTGGAAGCACTTCTGGTCCACTTCTGGGTCTGCTGCTGAGTATGCTGGGGAGCCCCCCGCACTTCACGCGCCCCAGCATCGCAGCATTCACGAGCTGCCCGCTACCTTGAGGTATGTAGAAAAAACATTTAAAGCTGTGTCTATGTTTGAATTGCCGAATCTTTTTGAATCAATTCAGAGGTTTGCAATTCAATTCGGAGAGATTAAAGGATCCTCTGAGTCAATTCAGATCTGGAGATTTGGCCACTGAACTGAGCTGAATCTCCACCAAATCTAAATCAGGGACCAAAGCTTCGTACAGTCCTAGTGAATGGCCAAGGAGTCTCTATAATCAAGTCTTGCAGGACAGGTAGTTTACTTCTGGATTTTCAGAGTGATGGGCTAATGGGATATTTATTTGAAGAGAATAAAGATACCCTATTTTATGCCTGACAAAACATTACAAATAAGATTGTCCTTTGAAGCTCAGTGTAAAATGCTGTACGTAAGCTTAAACATTTAAAAACATTACACATTAAAAAATTCTGCTATATGAATTCATTCATTTATAAACCCTGCAACAGAAGATAAGTCTTCTAAATCAATGTGCCACATTTTATTTTCTTACCTTTGCCTCATTAATGGTATATTGATGCAATTAGCAGCAGCTACAGCAGCAAAAGGAACAAAACGTCCTATGAGGGGTGAGACATGCTGCAAAAAAAGAGAAAGCGAGAGAAAGATTTTCAGGGTTTTAAAAAGGTATTAAAATGAAAAAAGTAGCTAAAAAAGATTTAGAGCAATGGGGAAAAATTTGACAAACAACTTTTAAGCAACCACTGTATCTATCAGAGTGAACATTAGTAGGAAGGAAGAAGGAAAGAGTCTTGGAAGATAATGTCACTCCTGCCTCACATACAAGTCCCCTGACATAGCTATCAGCATAATAGCAAGGACAAAGCTGAACAGACTTAAAAAAAATTCCCACCCCCTGGCAAGGTTATAGTTACTGTGCATCATTTCTAGCTGCCTTTCACCCAAGGGCACTGACTATACAAAATCTAGTGACTGAATCTACTCTTAAAATAGGTTCTCTTGAACATGTAGTCAATAGTGCATTATCTAAAAAAAACAAGAGTTCAACAAAAACATGCAAGACAGCTATTTTTGTTAAGGTCCCTCTTTCATGACCATTATATATTTGTTTAAAGAGCTACACAGTTTTTAGCCCGAAATCAATATAATAAAACCATACTGCAGTCTAATTCCACAGCATGTTCATTAATGCTGTAATGCCAGTTCAGGACAGATTTGCAATGGGAATTCTGTTGTCTGAAAGTTATTTCTGCCGAGTAATTATAACTGAAAATGTGTTTTAAGCTCATTCATCAGATGTTGGCATTACCAAGGAACTAAGCTAACTACACAAATATATTACAAAAGAAGAAAGAGGGACCTGTACAAATTACTGAAGTGATTAGAAACTTTACATATTAAGCATCTAGAGTGCAACACCGCATAAGCCTTTCAGCCTTGAAAAACATGGAAAATCCCATGCACAGAGCCAAGACACTCAGATATCCCATTCTCTAGATTTTATATTTAGATATTCCTTGTATTTAGAGAACCTGAAAAGCTTCACTTTTTAAAAAAGTACTACATTGCAAAATAATGAATTGTTGAAAACTTTTTAATGCTTTAAATCAAGAATTCTGATAAAAGCAAAAAACATATTGGTTGAAGTTTCCTTGATGTTTTCAGATATTCTGAAATCAACAGCAACTTAAAGTATTAAAATAGGGGTACACTAAATGATATGCAAGATTTCTCTCTTTTTTTAAACTTTTAAATGGTAGACCAAATGCTTTACATTTTGGTACGTGTGGAACCAAATTTTCCAACAGGCTGAGGTTCATTCTCTGTTTTTGCAGGTGGATTGATAAGCTTTAAATGTTGAAGCTAAGTAAGAAAAAATCTGCAGCAATACCTTGGTTAGTGCATTAAGTCCTAGAGCTGTTGCTACAGCACCTGTGGTGGCAGAAACATAGGCTGTTCCCAGCTGGCTAAAACAAAAATAAAAATATTTACAAGTGCACAGAACTCTTTAGTTTCCATCAAATACACTGAAAGGGATCTGCTCTATACCCTTCAAAAATTAATGGAAAAACAACACTTACTTCAACATTAAAAGGCGGAATGGGATGTGGGCAAAATATAAGCAAGTCTGAGGATACACTGTCTTAAGTGTTATTTTCAATATGAAACAAGCTGCATAAAATACTTCAAAAGCTTCAATAGTGCTACCAGCAGGAGTATTATGGTGGTTATGCAGCACAAATTAATTCATATGGAATCAGATTCCCCTTTTCTTCTCAACCCGTTCGGCATGTCTTCCTTGCACTTGCACGGTCACCCCTCCACATGGAGGTTGGGAAAGATCAGGTTCTACCTTGAATTTCCAGATGGCTCTCCTTAATGAAATTCAAAGCTGCTGACCTAGTAACAAGGTAACTTGGCTTTTCCAAGACTCGCTAAACAGTGCAATAAAGATTTCCATTAAAGATTAGTGAACACATTGAAGTGATGTTCAGATAAACAATGCTATTACTTTTATTTTTAAAGCGGTAAACCAATTCTAAATCTCAAATCACTCTAGTAGGATTATTACTTACAAAGCTGCTAGAACTATTTGATTTAGTGTCTGACCTGACAGTAATCGGGGCATCCCCGCTTCGGTTGGTATAATTTACAATGGCGTTGAAGGACTGGTTAATCCATTGCCAGAAGACTACAGCAGGAGTCGTTCTAAATTTAAAAATATACATTGACATTACCAAAAGGCTACACACCAAGAAAAGTTAGCATGAACATAGGTAAAGTGATTCAGGCAAATCTGAAATGAGCTTTATTAATAAAATACAGATTATGTATTGAAACATGCTGAAATTAATAGACAGCCTGCCAGCAGGCTACACAATACAACACAACCCTAAGTGCTTATATTCAGACTGGGAGGTGTATTATAACAAACTGAGATGTTCTTACTCCAAGCTGTATTTCTAAAACACATACAAAAAATCTCTGATACATTGGCAATAGTTACAGGACAAGCAATTTTTTCTCTATCATCCCACTTTTTGGCAGTTTGGAAGAGAAGGCTGGACAAACACTTGGCTGGGACGGTCCTTCCTTCAGCAGGGAGCTGGACTAGATGACCTTGCAAGGTAACTTCCAGCTGTATTTTCTTAAGATCTTATTTCTCTTTATGTATTAGCAGCTTTTGCTGGAAGTATCGGGAAGACATATACACTGACTGATTAATGAATCCTGTCATCCAACATACAGCTATTTCAAAATATTTTTTGTCTGATATAGTGACATAACTTCTTGCAAAAAACAAATCCTGTGACAGAAATTTTCAACTGCATTCAAGAATCAAAGGATGAATTTTCTGCTTATTTAGTCCAAATGAATAGCGATTTAACTAAACATTTCCAGGTGGATTAGCAAATACTGAGGTGGCATGGGAAACAAAATGATAGTTCAAAGTAAAAAGAAACAACAAGGAGCCCCTCTCAATTATGTGACTGTCAGTGAAGATCTGCCTCAAGACAGAAATCCTATTTTGAAGGCATTTAAATAGTTTAGTGGGGTTAGTTCATGAAAAACTAAAGATCATGTTCAACTTTTATCTTAAAAAGCTATAATACAGTGAATATGGTTGCTTTAGAAATGCCTGTTAGAGAGATAGACAGGTAATCCTTTTAGTGTGAAGTCTAGGTTGAAAACAGCACATTAGCCTCAATGAGAGACACAAATTAGAACATTTTTCAACTAAATCCTGCACTTGTGGAGCCTTTTCCATATACCTAAGAATTTTACTTGTAGGTTTTTCAATGAAAAAAGTTTCTAGAAGACATTACCAGAGACAGGGCACATAAATCAGCCATCCTTTGATTTGTTCTTATACTCTGCATTGAAAGTAAGTGGGTTTGACTGATTTTTATTATTTACGTAGAGGATTATTCCTGTAAAAGGATGACTGCTTTGGCCTCAATTCAGCAGAACATTTAAACACATGAGTGATTTAACTGGTTTGAATGGCAATCAACACGGTCCAAGTTATGTATGTGCTTAAGCATTTTCCTAGTATCCTAGATAAAATACTAGATAAGTTGTTTCTTGCAAACTTTAAATCAGAGCTGTTCGGCCATTACAGGGAACTACAACCACTAGTTTTTGGTCCATGGCAATTCCCTTCAGTGGAGCATGAACACTTTCTTTTGCTTGGCAAGTCATTTAGTAGGTGGCGGAAAGTAAAGATAACAGAAATGAAGACTGGTGGTCAGCATGACAACGTGCTCCAGGAGCAAGCTAGCTCTGTCTCACATTATATAGCAATACTTGGGGAGACAAAGAGGCACTAGACTACCTATTTCTCTTGCTGTAAAAGCTTTGAATCCCACATTTAAGGATACAATCTGACAATTGAACCTGTATTCTTTTCCCAAACCTTAGGCTACAAACAGACATTACATATATTTCAAGCAAAAAAACATTTTATCCTGGAACAAACTGCATTCGTTCAGATGTCCATGTCCATCATCCTGGAACAAATCCTAGAAAGGTTTGCGGGATAAGAAGGGCTAACAGTTTGTCACAGGATCACATTGTTGTATCAATGGCAGAAAAATGGTATTGCATTCAGTCACTCACTAAACCCTGCTTGGGAGGGCAATGTGTATACATACCAATCCCAGGACTTTTCTGTTCTGGGACAAACACAGGCTCAACTTGTCCAAATGCAAATGCAGATGCAAAGTCTGCTCTTACCCTTACTTTCAAGTGATTCATATCTGCCTTCTTATTCCCAAGGGCTTCCACCATCTGAATCGGGCCCTGAAACAACCCTGACAAACCAGCTTCTCCCATGCCTTCACTTCTCTTACTTGTGTGCATGAGCTTCCTTTTCCCTACTCCTCTCCCTCACCCACCTGTCTTATCCCCTTCAGCATCTGTTCTCTATTGAATGCAAATATTCTCTGCATTCAGTAAAAAGCAACCTTTTGTCAGAATTTAAAGATGACAAAGCCAAAACAGCCACCTCAGGCCGGTGCGTCAGCAGAGGAGGAACGCAAGCTAAACAATAGCTAGATGGCACTTTAGAAGGTGAATTCTTGAACTTAATGTCCCACTGTTTCCTTTCCAATCAGAATACAAAGTTTGCAGTGGACAAAAGTCCAGATCATGGGAAATTTGGCACTATAACCAAGTAAGGGAAGGATGAATGTAGGATTGTGTCACCTCTGTTTTGTTTGATTTTGAAGGCATGGCCAGGGATTGATCCAGCCCTTGGACCAAGTTAAGTCACCCTAACTTTGGCCTAGTCTATCCTGTTTCAACCACTATAGTGTCCAAGAAGCCATTTCATTGACCCAGAGCCCCGAGAGTACAGGGTACTCACTACATGTCCTCTCTTTCCTTTGATATGCCCCTTTCCACTGCTTCCTATGCTGGGAGCAAGGCTAGGTTGCATAGAAGAGGCTATGCCAGTGTTGTATCATCCAGGATTTCCCTTTATTTCAGAGGAATCTCCAGTTGTTTAAAACAACTAGGTGACTTCTTTGTATTGCCAAAGATCTGGCCCTAAAACAACCATGTTTTCTAGATTAGGGAATGACTATAATAGTCCTGGGTCTGACAAACTAGCTTAAGGACATGAAGAACAATGGTCATTAGGAAAAGGAATAAAGCTGTCTTCATGATAAAAGCATGATGGATTAAAAATAGTTACATTTGTTTTTTTTGACACAAATACTCCCGAGTGGGAGGCACACTACTTTCTGAACTATCCATCACATACTCTGTGGAAATTTTTCTGTGCTCTTGGCATGAAACCTCTGCTTCTTGATATTTTGCAACAGGCTGTTAATATTGTGAGTGTGTTACTAAAGAATAACTTTGCATAATGTACTGCTTTGATTTTTGATAAACTGAATCATCATATGAACCTGTCAAGAGACAAACGTTTCAGAAAACATGCTGTAGCATTGATTTCTAGTGCTGCCTGGTACCCATGATCTTTTAAACACAAGGTTAGATACCTTGCAAAATGCACCTTTCCTTGAAGGACAAGGAATCAGTGAAGATAGCTTAAAAATCCCAGCAAACACAAGGCTTATACAAACCTCCACTGGTTCTTGCTAGAAAAGTATTTTCCCCCAACATGATTCCAATGCAAAGAGTGCTAATACAAGTTACTGAAACTGGTCTCTGAAAGTAGGCTCTGTCCAATTTGCAAGGGATAAATGAATGGTTTTGAAGAAAAAAGGAAGTATACAAAGACCTGCAGGAACTTGATGGTTGATAAATTGGGAAAGATGTTTCATACTTACTTTGCACACAGGATCCTAATGGGTCAGATCTCTAAAGTTAGAATCCCCTCCTCTTTGTTTTCCAAGTAATTTTCCTATAAGGATGGGCTTTTGGAACAGTCAACTTCCTCAGTTTAATAAGGAAAAGTGGTGAATGACCAGAAGGAGCTAAAAGCTCATCTTACAACTACTTCTAGAGGAAACCACTAATTAATGGAGGTAGGACGGAATGTAGGGAGAGAAAAAGAAAGGAGGCAAAAATGTTAAATTTAGAAAGGATTTATAAAACATCTTTTAATGTTCTGCTGATCTAACCACATTGCATTCACTGAAAAACGTGTTTGTGGTATCACTACTTACCTATAAAAGGTCATCATGCAACCTGTGATAGTCATGTTCATTGGTACCTGAGCTGACATTCGGCCAATCAAGATCATCTTTTCACCGGTGTCTGGATGAAAAGCTGAATCATAGACATATTTTGCTCTCCAAAGCTCATCTTCAGTCAATTCAGGGGCCACCACACCTTGTCTTGGGGCAAATTAAAATAAGTGTTATACAAGCCTTCCAAGTACGAATTAATAAGTACAACACTAAGAGATGTTCAGGTCATTCAACTAGAATAAAGTTACATACTGTATTTTAGGCTTCTATTGTATTGTATGGTGGGACACCCAAATAATGAGTACATTTAACAGATTTAGTTTTTAAATACATTGGTGAATATGGAGTATCACCACTCCAATAAAATCATTATGTGGCTGAACTGCTGCTGCCAAAAAAAGAAAAGAGAGATACTTCTACCAGCTGGAAGGAATGTAGAGATTTTACAGTGAGATTTTACAGTGAGATTTCAGCAGATGAGTTCTCTTGAAGTTGCTAACAATTATGCAAACCATAATGACCTACATGACTCTGAAAATGTACTTTCCTGCAAAGCTATTCAGCAAAAATGGTACAAAAAAAGGCACTATAAAAGCACTTTTCATAACAGCTTCAATGCTAATTAATATTTCAGAATTAGACCGCACACCCATAGATGAGTGCTTGGTAGAAGTTTTCAAACCACATAATTTGCTAATTCTTAACTGTAGAGAGTACTGTTTTAAATATCATGCATAGTTTAGCGTTATAAGTAGTATACCTAGAAAAAGCACTGTTGCATAGAAAATACCTAACAAATATTCATTGTAGAGATATAATCCCCTACATACGACTCAGACTGAGCAATATGACAATTTATGACACAAAGACAAATTGCTGTTGATAGTAACAGCCAAAAATATCCAACCATGATACCTGTAATCATGTACAATTTTTCTTGCATTTTCTAGTTGTGTGTTAGATAATAAAATATTCCTGGGATCTGTTACAGTAAAAAAATGACTGGCTCTTCCAACAAAAGTGCTTTGATCCCAACGGGGTTCCTTTATATTAATGTTTAATGGTATAGTTGATGACATTTTCTTGAACTCTGTAGAAAGAAAGAGATTTCAGTTTGATCATTCTTGTAATTCATAATACATGCAGGATTTTTAGGGAACTAACCCTCCAAGGTGCCAAATGAAAGCAAACTTCCAATAAAAAGCAGTAGATGCACAAATGCTGAATATTATACCAGGTACATACCCAGAATGTAATTTATTTAATCCTCATTATTTATGTAAAAACCTGCATCAGACTTAATAATGGGTCTTAGGATGTCATTCATATGAGCAAGCTTAAAGGACAGCAATGTATTTACATTTTTATACTAACTTCTCTTTAGACACCTACTTGTTAACAGTTCTGAACAAATAAGTAGTTGAATTTGAAGGGGTCCCAGGGAAAGGGGATGTTATTAAAAACCAGCTTCACAAAGTACTGGCAAGCAAACAAAGCTATTCATGTTCATTTTACTTGAACACTCCCCTCATAGGGAACTTGGCAACTGAGATGAAACACAAAAGTTTTGAACAGATGTGCTTCAAGAGATATTAAACTCTATGATTTCTACTACTGAATTTTGTGAGAAGCCTTATTTAAAATCTCTGGCCTAGCCAAACAGAATTTAAATTTAAGCCACCATGCAATGCCTAATTGTTCTAAGGGTTGCGTTTTGTAAAAATAACTGTATTTTTAAAAAGAGGCTAGCCAGCAACCTGTAACATTATAATATACGACATTTTTCCCTAGAGTTTGAATTACATTTGGACTCTTGTGGGGGTGCTCCTGCAAAAATAAAAAAAATTGGGCTGCCCATCACGATACCCTAATACAAATTGGAGACCTCCCCAGATTATGATTTTCAAATCTTACAGAGATTTTCAAATCTTGTCTCTTATTCGGGGGGGGGTAGTCGTCGTCATCCCCCTCCCTGAGCTCTCCATAATTCAAACCCTGCTTTTCCCAATGAAACAACAAAGGTGGGGAAAAACACTATCAAATGGTGTCCAGTAACCACATACACTTAGCAGCACTCTGCCACTTTAATAAAAGCAACATTAGAGACACAACTCCTGAGTTTCTCAAGGCGTCAAAGACTTGCGTGTCCTATAAAAGCAATGTTTGTCCGTGCATTCCTCAACACAGATGTTTAAGCCCTAGAGCAGTCTGTCTAGTCTTGTAAACAACTATAAATTCACATACTTCAACGAAACAGAAAAATATGTACAAAAACCCAAATGCAAGCACTTGACCCTGTGAGATCAACAGAAAGCAAAGACCAAGTATTAATGGTAAGTTTTCAGGATGGAAAAACAACCAGCAGGGTCCCCCAGGGATGTGTGTTGGGAACAGTGCTGTTTAACATAGCCACAAATGATCTAGAAAAGGGGGTGAGTAGCAGGGTGGCCAAATTTGCCAATGACAAAATTACACAAAGTGATGAAGATCAAGGCAGACGGTAAGGAACTACGGAAGGACCTGGCATGATTGAGCGAATGGGCATCTAAATGGCAGGTGGCAATTCAATGTAGATAAGTGTGAAATGATGCACCTAGGCAAAAACAACCCAAACTATGTCTAGACTATGATGGGCTCCACATTAAGAGTTACCACACAGGAAAGAGATCTGGGAGTCACTGTGGACAGTTTGCTCAAAACATCAGCTCAGTGCTCAGCAGCCATCAAAGAGACAAACAACATGTTGGGGATTAAGGAGGGAATTGTAAACAACATGGAAAGCATCATCATGCCCCTTCATAAATCCATGGGGTGTCCCTGTCTTGAATACGGTGCCCAGTTCTGGTTCCCTCAACTCAAAAAGGACATAGAAGAATTAGGGAAGGTACAGAGAAGGACAGCGAGGACTATTAGTGGTATGGAGGGGCTTCAACATGAGGAAACACTAAAGAACTAGGTCTGTTTAGTTTAAAAAAGAGACACTTGGGGGAGGACATGAGACAGGTTTACAAAATACTAAATAGCAAAAATAAAGTAAAGAAGGGTTTATTATTTACTCTCTCAAGACAAGAGCTGGGGGGTGGGGGGGGCCACAAAATCAAACTAGTCAGTAGTATGTTTAAAACTAACAAAAGGAAATTCTCTCTCTCACAGCGTGTCATTAAAGTGTGGCACTCATTGCAACCACTCTTGTGGAAGTTGATAGTTTGGCTAGATTCAAAAAGGGACTGGACAAATTGTTGGAGGAAGGGGGTGGGGATCAGTAGCTAATAGCATGGGTCAGGGTTATAGCCTTCCTACACCTTAATGCTAGGGAGATGGGTGGGTTTAAGTGATCACAAACTAGTTTAAACCTGTAACAGAACAGAAGCTCAGTGCACATAAATCAGTTTCAAAATCTCTGAAACTGGTTTAAGATAAACCTGGTTGAATGTAGTATCAGACCTAGCTGATTTGGGTCAAACTGGTTTATGCAACTTCTGTCCTAAACCCCTTCCTGGTTCAAGTTAAATCAATCAGAGTCCCCCAGCATCCCAGCATGCTTTGCAGCCCCGGGCTGGGCTGTGCTGTCTGCTCCAGAGAGCAGGGCTAGCTCTGCCCCTTTGCTCCTAGCTGGAGCCGTGAGGGCTGGCTGACAGGGAGGGGCAGGGGAGGCAAGCCCAGCTGGGGATGCAGCCCACTCTACTGTGAGGGGAAGGGGAAGACACTCCCTGCCCCCCACCCCAGGCAAACCCCAGCTGGGGCCCAGGGGGTGTGGGGGTTAAACACTCCTTTCCCCACTTGAATTTACTGCTGGCTGCAACTGTAGACTACAAATCCCAGAGGTACCTGAAAGCAGGAAGAGGAAGCAATGAGCAACCCTGAAGAGCCCTGCTGTTGTAATTCTGGACTGCAAATCCCAGAGACCTCAGGGGCAGCAAGAAGAAGTGAAGAGACAGCCAGAGAGCCGAGCTCTAGCACCCCCCAGCTTCTGGCCTGAGCCATGCAGGCATCTGGCTGCATTTCCTGAATCAAAGGTAAATGTCTGTTCACTTCTGTTTCAATTTAATCTGTGCAGTTTAGACTAACCTGCAAAGACTGAATCAATTCAGCCTTAGGCTTTTTGAATGTCTCTACCTAGCCTAAATGCTGGAGCCTTCAAGTGAGAAAGGAACAGTGAAAAAAAAAAACCCAACAACCTGGTTATACCATGGTCTTAGGCCCGGTCACACAGTGGCAGAGAGGGGATGCTATCTGATGTGCCCTGATATCATGGGCTTCAGCCCATCATAAAATCTATAAGCCCCACTTAAGAAGGGTGGCCAATGGGGACATACCAACTAATTGCTTGGGAGAACAAAAAAAAAATAGGAATGGGAGGGAGGTCATAGGTTAACAACTAGGGCATCGGCAGAGGATACAAAGTATACCAAACAGAGTACACTAGCCAGGAGTTCAGAGAGCCTTTTGGATGGCATCCAGGGAAACTATGTCCAGAGACATGTGCAAAGAAGTGACAGGAAAGCAGCCCTGCGCTCGCCCGGATTCTTCCCAGCCAGAGCCTCCTTCCTCATCTTATGGATGGCCAGCTTGGCCAAAGCCAGGAGGAGGTTGACCAAGAGGTCCCTGGATTTGGTGCGGCTGGGGAAGTTTTGCTTCCACAGTAATGTGTGTCAAGCATTCCCTTCTCTCTCCCCCCCCCACCCCCCACCATAAAGTGAGAAAAAGGGACATGTGCACTTAAAGTGATAAAGAAATGACAACAACAGATCTAAATCAGTCAGAAATACCCTAACGTTAAAGCATAATTTAATAACCCTCACATTTAAATTGTCCCTCAGATGGAGTTAGCACAGGAATGCAGCCTAACTGTATTTGGGAAAACCCGTTATTTCCACAAAGATGGTAGAGAATAATGAGCCAGTGTATTTTGTATTTGTAACACACAAGACTTCAGATGGTGGGAACTGGTGATCCTTCCCACAGGCCATTCTTTCACACCGTGATCAAAGACAAGTATTGTTTGTAAGAACACGATTGAAAACACTGGAGCTCAGCAATTAAACTTCGGTTTGCGACATCATTAGTGTGGACTGCTCTGTGTTGTTTAGCAAGAACTGGTGAATATTTTCACAGGAATTCAGATTCTCTTTTACTTGGTTGATGTAAGTCCATTAGTGGGCAAAGCCCACGCCTATTATAAAAGCAGTTTGAATTCCCTGAGCCTAATTGTTCAAAACTAGATGTTCAGAGGAAAAAAAAAATAGCATAAATACAGGTAGTTCAGAAAAACAACTACAAAAAAAACCCCGCAGTAAGAACCAGTCCATATATCCTAGAAACATCCAAGTCTTTCTTTTCTACCTCGGCAGCATTTTGGAAGTCTGTGGAGAAAGAAGTATATTCTCCCAGAAAGCAAAGTCACAGCCTCTCTTCCTACCCATAAGTAGCCCAACGCCAGAAGCACAAGGAAAAGCAGTTGGTGCGGAAAAAGTCATGTTCTTATTAGATGCTAGAAAGCTGATATAGGAGTTACTTAAGCTCTTGAACTATGCAGCATGTATATCACCTTTGCAGGCTTTCATTACACACCGTCTACACCAGGGGTGCTCAACCCCCAGCCCACAGGCCCGATGTAGTCTGCCCAACGGTTCTACCAAAGGGTCCAGAAATTTGGTGGTGGGGGAGCAGTGGCAATTAACACTAATGCTCCTCCCTTGTTGCCAAATTTCAAAGCCCCATGCGGTGGCACTATGCACTGGATTTGGTCCATGGACCAGATCTGGCTAGCAAATGGATCTGGCATTGCTCATGTGGCCTGTGGGCTGAAAAGGTCAGGTACCACTGGTTTAAAGTAGTTGAAACTCTGTGATCCCATCCAGTTGGCCTTACTTCACTTAATGTGCTATGGAAAGTACCATCAGTTCTCTGAGGTGTCAAGACCTACTGAAAATTCAGATAGCCCAAATTCTTCTTTACTGGTATTTAGTTCTCACTGAAATCTCTGAAAATTGAATATGCAAAGGCACAATTTCCCACATTTAATTTTATTGACTATGTGACCTTGCTGCAAGGATAAATAGCAAGTATGCAAAACAGCTGCTGTAAATG